TTGACAGTGGTGCAACCTTTCATGCCACAAACGATCTAAACAATCTGTCCATACATGCTCCATACGATGGCACCGAAGAACTAGTTATTGGAGATGGTTCTTGTTTAAAAATCTCTCATATTGGCTCAACTGTCATTCAAACACCACACACACCACTAATTCTCAATTTTGTTCTCTATGTTCCATCTCTCTCTCGAAATATTATTTCAATCTCTCGCTTATGTCTTGACAACAAATTCCTAATAGAGTTTTATTCCTTTGTTTCTGTCATCAAGGACCTGGCATCCAAAACCCCCTTGTTCAAGGGCACGATAGTCAAAGGAATGTATGAGCTGCGCTCATCCTTATCTCCTCAACTTTTCGCTATGCATCAAACTAATCCAACTACATGGCATCATCGATTAGGGCACCCACAAAATAAAGTCTTCAAACAGTTGTCTTCTGTTCTTTCTTTCAATTCTAGTTTACATAACAATTGTAATTCTTGTCAAATCAATAAAAGTCATCGTTTGCCTTTTCATGAATCATCTATAACCTCCAATGCTCCTCTAGATATTATTTTCTCAGATGTTTGGTGTTCCCCTGTAGAATCGTATGATCACTACAAGTACTACATAATTTTTGTTGATCATTTTTCCAAATATATTTGGCTCTACCCAGTGAAAAAGAAGTCTGAATCTTTCACTATCTTCACCCGTTTTCAATTACTTGTTGAAAACTTCTTTAACACCAAAATCAAACAACTCTTCTCAGATAATGGTGGAGAGTATATTAAGCTTCGTTCTCACCTATCTTCCTCTGGTATTTCCCACCTCACATCCCCACCACATACCCCTCAACATAATGGGTACGCTGAAAGACGACACAGACATATAGTAGAAACTGGTCTGTCTCTCTTATCTCATGCAAATATTCCTGTTACCTTATGGCCATTTGCCTTTACAACAGTTTCATACCTGATCAACCACCTTCCTACTTCCACTCTACACAACTTATCACCTTTCCGCTGCCTTTTTCAAAAGGAACCAAATTATTCAAAACTTAAAAGTTTTGGTTGTTTATGTTACCCATGGCTGAGACCCTATGCACCACACAAACTTCACCCCAAATCCACCCCATGCATCTTCGTCGGCTACTCCCCTACTCAAAGTGCGTACTACACTTATGACCCAGCATCCTCAAAATTATTCACTTCCAGGCATGTCACCTTTGTAGAAAATGAATTTCCTTTCAACAAATTATCTACTACAAACACACTCTCCCCCACAGTAAACTTAGACGAATGGCTCCCTCTATCCCTTCCCATTATAGACACTACCACATCAAATACCAATAACCCACCCACACCCCCCACCTCTGCTCCTGCCAGCACTCCTCCTTCCTCACCTGTATCTACTCCCACCTCACACCTCTCAACCTCCTCATCAGATAGCAATACCAGCTCAACTACCGAAAATATACCCACTCCATCACCTCCCACCAAAATGACAACACGCCCAAACCCGAAACCAAAGACACGATATTTCAATTCCAACTTCGAATTATATACATCCACCACATCCAACTCAGCTGAACCTATAAATACTTCTCAAGCCCTCAAAAACCCTTCATGGAGAAATGCCATGCAAGAAGAATTCAACGCCTTAGAACGAAATCAAACTTGGACACTTGGTCCCTCCTCACATGCCCAGAACCTTGTAGGTTGTAAATGGGTCTACCGAACCAAATACAAACTAGATGGCTCTATAGAACGACTAAAAGCCCGCCTTGTTGCCAAGGGTTTTCATCAAAGACCTGGAATTGACTACCGGGAAACCTTCAGTCCTGTTCTTAAACCTGCCACCCTTCGTTTAGTGCTTTCTCTAGCCACATCTCACAACTGGCCCCTTAGACAACTCGACATAAACAATGCTTTCATACAAGGAAACCTTCATGAGAATGTCTACATGTCCCAACCCCCTGGATTTGTCAACCCCTCCCTCCCACACCATGTCTGCAAACTCAACAAGGCCATATATGGCCTACGCCAAGCCTCGCGGGCATGGTACGACGAACTCAAATCACATCTTCTTACCCTGGGTTTCAAACCATCTCAGACTCCTCTCTTTTCATTCTCAACACAACATCCTCTTACATTCTAGTCCTTGTGTATGTAGATGACATCATAGTAACTGGTCCATCCCCGCTTCATCTCTCCAAATTTATTAGTCATCTAGCTAACAAGTTCTCCTTAAAGGATCTTGGTTCTCTTTCCTATTTCTTAGGCATCGAGGTCATCCCTCAATCTCACGGTTTTCTTCTTTCTCAAAGGAAATACATCCTAGATATTCTCACTCGAGCCAAAATGAGTGATTGCAAACCAATCTCCACTCCAATAACTAGCTCTGCTCCTCTCACACTTGCAGGTGGAACACCTCATTCATCACCTACTGAATACAGAACATTGGTTGGAGCATTACAGTATCTATCTCTTACCAGACCAGACATATCAATCATCGTGAATCGTTTGTCACAGTTCATGCACGCACCAACGTCTCTTCATTAGATAGCACTGAAACGCTTGCTCAGGTATCTTCATGGAACTTTACATCATGGCATATTTCTGCAGCGTAACTCTCCTCTAAATCTTCATGCCTTCACCGATGCTGACTGGGCTGGTGACAAAGACAATTTATCGGAGCACAACAGGCTATATTGTTTACCTAGGTGCTAATCCAATCTCATGGAGCTCCAAAAGACAAAGTACTCTTGCAAGAAGTTTCACAGAAGCCGAGTTTCGAGCTGTTGCTTCCACAACAACAGAGGTCCAATGGCTTATCTCTCTTTTAAGTGAGCTTGTTTTTTTTTTTCTACAACCACCCCTACCATCTACTGTGACAATTTAAGTGCAACCTCCTATTCGGCGAATCCAGTTTTCCATTCACGCATGAAACATCTAGCCTTGGATTTCCATTTTGTTCGAGAAAAAGTCCAACAAGGAACTCTCAGAGTCCAACATATTGCCGGAGATGATCAGTTGGCAGATGCACTTACCAAACCTTTGCTATGACCTCGATTTCACTATCTTATTTCCAAGATTGGCCTTCTCTCCGGATCGTCCATCTTGCGGGAGCGTATTAAAGTATACAGAGGACAATAATATCTCAACATTATCTAAAGTTGTTCATTAATTAACATGTGCATTATATATAGTCAAATTATTGTTATTAGTCTTCCCCAATTATCTCAATAGTTAGCTGCAATCTCATGTATAAGTACCTGTATAGACCTCGTTGTACACACAAGATTAAACATACAAAAATCAATTCATATTCTTCTCTGTTTCTCTAAATATAGATTAGGAGGTCAATGGTAAATATTGACAATTGCAATCTAAACACCTAAAGATCTTAGCAATTTATCAATACATGGAGTAGTAACATAACACCAAAAACTGATTGTTCAAAGTACAATACAATTCGGTGGGACCATTGTCATTGATTATAGGGAATTCAATGACCTCAGGTAGTCAAACAATAGTCCAAGGTTATATAAAAGTTTATTGAAGGAAATGGAAACTATGAAGCGAACCCCTGTGCATTTGTGGTAAAAGAACCAGAGATAAGAGGCTAGAGATCGAGGCTCAGGAAAGTTGAGTTCCGAAAAAATGTTATTAAATTTTGGATTTTCTAACAAAGAAGTTCCACAAATACATGAAGAATCCAAACCGAGGAAATACTTTTAGAAATGATTACAAACAACCACCTCCAGTTAACACATTCCTGAATGCTACCCGACTGTATAAACTTCCAAAGATGATGAAAGTTTAAACCCCAATTAAATTTAAACTTGCATGTTATTATGTAGTTCAGTTTCACAGATATGGTGGAGAAAAATCATTTTTCCAATGATTGCAATGTAAATAAAAGGTGGTTAAGCATGGATCATATTATTTCTAGAAATTTCGAGAGGCTGAGACAAATGAGAAAGTGCACATGGGACAAATGTGGTGGAGAAATATCAACTGAAGTGGAGACCTGGTCATCATCTGATGAGGACTCTAATAAACAAGCCTAGTTCTAACTTATGGTCGCTAATCCGACGTCAACAAACTCATCAAAGGATCAAGTGTTCGATTTTTCCAATTCTATATTTCTATAAATGAACTCAAAAAGCATCTTGCAAATGTAGCCTCTAAACATGTAGAGAAAACGATTCAAACTCAGAAAGCAGAGGAATATGAAATGTAGGTAAATAAATTGATGGAAGTTCAGAATGAGGAGGAAGCCCTTAAGGCAAAGACTAAGACTGTCGTAAAGAAGTACAACAGAGGCATTGTGTGATTAAAGTTCTTAACAACAAAAAAAAATGACAATAATTGCCTAAGATATCATGTATTTGACGTTGTCTTTTTCAAGCATTCATTATAAGGTTATAACTCCTTTTATTTAGTTACATCCTAAACCAATCAAGAAATTTGATGAAAGCATTTTTTTGTTGTGTACGCCTTTTATTCATGTGATGAGAGAAAGGTTTAGGTTTGGGTTGTCAAAAAGTATACCTCACATGCACGACCAAGTATGTCAGGCTTCTTTGGGGATAAAGATCTGAACCACCCTCTCTCTTTTACTGAAAACAAATAAAAAGTAGTATGTTAATTTATTATTCACAAACATCCACCTGGAGAAAGTAGTTTGTATTGGGTCCCGATACATGTATGTGATCCAACATATCAAGACTAAATGAGTTAACATAGACCAATTCAGATGGATCACTACTTGGGTCGATTCATTTAAAAGTTAGAATGAGAGATTTTATTTTTCATATTTTATAAAAACAAACTCTTATTGTAGTGGTCAACAAATAAAAATCAATGATAAATGGGTGGATTGGATTTAGTTTATATGAAACATTTATTTATCTACTAAAATAAATGGGTCATTATCCATCTAACTAAAAAAGTTGGGACATGGGTCAGATCATTATACATAAGACATGACAATAAAATATTTAATAAATGACATCTACCTTGATAGTCGGGGCCATCCGTAATGAATTTACGATGATAGGGATACAATATAATGCCATGTGAAGAAAACCGCCCTTTTTCTAAGATGTATTGTCCGGTTGTTGTTTGAAAAGGAGAGAGATCTCCACCAATTATGTGATTCCATGACTTGTAATAACCCAACACATCTTCTTCTTCATCCTTCTTCTCTCCTTCATCATACACAAGACTCACCCCACACTCCTTTACAAGTACATAACGCCGCTCTGTAACAGTAATAATAATGTGGTCACCAGCATCCATCTCATTCATCCCAAACATCCAATGACTTAACATCACCCAACAACACTTTCCACCTACATTAAATCTGTCCCTGTGACGTTCATATATCCATGTGCGGTTCTTTGTTACATTACTAACTGTCATCATTGGCGTCGTAGGGAAATGACCAGCAAAGGGATATATCTCATCAAAACCTCGCAACCTCTGCAGAGAACAGAAGTTGAGTCCTCTAATGTTGTTTGGAGATGATGATGGGATGGTAAATGATATTGATGGCCCCTCACTTCTATGCCTAAACCAACTTGGCATCTCCTCCGCCTTATACCTTGTGCTGAATATTCCAAATTCATAAATCATCTGCCAAATACAACCACCTTAATTAATCACCATACCAATTATATTATATTATAGGTATTCACATAAAGTAAGACAGTTAAGTTAAATAGACAAAACCTGGATGTCAGATTCTGAATAATTAGTTCCCATGTGCCTTTGGTTAAGGAAGTCTAAATTAGTCCAGCCCAATCTATGTAATAACTTTTCCTCAACACTCACCATCGGTTGGATTTCAACCATGCCTTCAATTATCCAAGATGCATCATCTGACCCATTTATTGATAGCTGGAGTGGGGACATTTCTGGATTAAATACAACTTTTTCTATATCATACAAATCATGAGGATTAATAAACAACTTTCTTAGTGTACGTGGAGGATACTCGACTGACTTCAATTTTTTACAATTATCCATACTAAGTATCTCAAGTCCAGGAAGGGTTCTCACACAACTTGGCATGGAATTGATAGGATTGCGATCTAAATATAACTCCTTTAACATGGATAGACAACTGAAGTCCATGGGAAAGGATTCATTGGACAACTTGTTCTTTGCAATTGACAATGTTACCAAAGACCTTGGTAAAGACATTGCAAAGGACTTCAAATCATGTGGTATAGCACCCACAAAGGCAGAGAAAGAGGTTCTTTGGTTTATGCCAATGTTGTTAACCGTGCACATTTCCAGTGAATCCATATGCATATTCTTGATTCGAGATTCACCAAGATTACAACCATCAAGCAACACTGTTTTAACCTTCTTTAACATGCCTATATTTCTTGGAAGCTTTTCAAGCTTCTTGCAATAGCTCAGATCGATGAGGATAAGTTCAACACAATGCCGAATTGTTTCACAAACATCAAGCAAACCAATGCAGTTTCTAAGTATTAACCTCTCAAGCGCAGGGAGTAGGTCAAAGTCACCAACACTCTGAAGTTGTTTACAGAAACTTAAATTAAGAATCTTCAGTGAACAAAATAACCTTTTCTCTTTTATGCATGATCCATCCAACTACAAAAATAGAAATAAGTTAATATGGTATTAGTTTCATCAAATCACATGCATGAATATTAAATAAAGATAAGTTTACCTTTTGCCTCTTCTCAAGTTGTTGTGGATTACTATAACCGACAAATGATTCAATATTGCTATATGACATGTCAAGAGCAACAAGATTCTCTATAGGTAACTCTGAAGGTATAGACTTTAAATGAAACCCATGCATACACAAGCCTCTTAATTCCTCTGGAAAATTCTCATAAGTCCCATACAAGTGCACATAATTAAGTTGTAGTAGCATAAGACTATCCATGTTACTCAATGCATCTGTTTTCAGCTCAAATGATGTTCCCAACTTCTCTTTCTCAAGCATTCGCATGTCAAGGGCAAGGCCTAGAAGATTTCCCTTACCCTAAGAAGAAACATAATGAAAATAAACAAATTAGAGAATACCAAATATTTTGTACATGCACACTACTAAAATCATGCATGGCCTCATACCTTTTTTTGTTTTAACACTCTGAATGACTCCTTATGATACCATACACGACTTCGCTTCCATGGCTTGTCAGGTGACTCTTGACCTACAACGAATCTACCCATCTCTTGAACCAACTGATGCATCTTCAATTCATTATTCCGTCCAATACTAAGAAGACATCTGTCAATGAGATTCGTAATTCCGGTTCTTGTGTTTATATCACATGCCTCTAATATTGTTTCACTAACATATCTATCTGTTCCAACAAAAAAACAAGCAATATGCTTAAACAATTCTTTATCGTTTTTGGATAGCAAAGAGTCAAAGCTCATCCTCAAGACATTATTTACAGGGGAACTAACTTCTTTCTTTAGCCCTTCCATGCAACCTTCCCAGTACCCCACATCTCGATTATGCAGAGACTTGCCCAAAACTTCAAGAGCCAATGGTAGTCCTTGACAATACTTCACAAGCTTATCCAACACCTCTTCAAAACCTGCCTTGGGATGGTTGCACATGAATGCATGAAAACAAAAAAGTTTCCTTGACTCTGTCCAATTTAAACCTTCAAGGAAGTGTTTTGCATGCTTTGGTTTAATGTTTGTTTTGAATAGTACACAGCTCTCTGTCAACCATCTGTCCTTTGTTGTAATTATAACTTTGGTTCCGGGATGAAAACCTTTGCTTCCAAGTAATGCATCTAACTGAACAAGAGTACTGATATCATCAAGAACTAGAAACACCTTTTTACGGGCTAGTGCATTCTCTATCTTTGAGGTGTTCACTGAAACATCATAAACGTGAATTGAACTTGGTTTTGAAATTTCATAGCAGAGTTGTTTTTGTAAATCAAGCAACCCATTAAATTTTCCATCACATTTTCTTGTAATATCTTCAATAAAGCTGCTTGTTTGAAACTCACGAGAATATAGCCCATACACATGTTTGGCTAAAGATGTCTTCCCGATCCCGCCTATACCCGAAATAGTGAGTATATCTGCCGTATGTGAGGATCCATCTTTCAACCATGAGGTGATGAAGTTAATGGAATCGTCCATCCCAATAAGTAGTGGCCGAATACTCCCTAAAGGTAAATGTAATCTACGGTAGATGTTCTTCACAATTTCTTCAATAAACTCTGTCTCAAACCTGAAGCTTGATTTTAATAAGAATTACAAAACACAATCCAAAAAACTAACAAACCAGATTTTAGAGATTTTATTTATATAAATATCCAAATCAAAATTATATCACAAATGTTAGTATTAGATATATGTAGAATAGGGCTTATTTGCTTTTAGGTTACTTTATTTGTATTTTTCTGTTTTAGATACACTAGTTGATTTATAAATGAGGGTTTAACCTCTTTATCAATGACAAGATAATATTCCAGAAATCTGATTCCTTAGCAACAACTATTAGTTTTAAAGTTTTAATTAAGTTCTTCCCATCAAACCATATTGTCTTCATTCTAAATTTCTAACCGTATACATATCTAATCTGTAACGTCATAAATATTTATGTATAATAAGACCAAAATTACCAATGTAATACAAGTTTTCACTAATGGGCCTTGTAACTTCACTATGTTTCCACAAGACCATCAAACTTAACTATCAATGTTGTGAGCCCTAAAAAAATAGTTATCCTTTACTACTTACAACAAAAGTTATTTATCATAAAAGGTGCTATGATTTTAAGGTGGTATGGTATAACTATTAGTAGATGTATAGCAACCAATTCAAAAATTTGATTGTTAATAAAAGGGTTCATGATTTATTTATGCAACAACATTTCGTCTTATCCCCAATTTATGCAACAATGTTATATTTATACAAAATATGCATCTTAGTTATCCTACTTTATCAAATATATGTCTACATGATGATATTAAAAAAAAAAAAAAAAAAAAAAAAAAAAAAAAAAAAAAACACCCTTACCAAAATGCATAGGGTGAAGATGATATTGACATTTTTCATAAGGTTGAATATGTGGTTACCTGCCATTTATGTCATTTCCTTTTAAATTAGCAACTTTGATAAGTGCTTTAGTCCATCGGTCAATCTTTTGAGCCCATTGACTTCTTTTATTTTCATCTGTCTCTTCATCCATTTTCTGTTTATGCTTAGACATTGCATCTCTAAAACTACTTTGTAGCTTCCTTACATGGGTGGGCTCCACATGATAAAAGATTGGGATGACAATATGGTTGGATGTCATACGCTGCTCAAGGATAAGCACCAATTCATCCAGACACCATGTTGAAGAAGCGTAGTTCTTGGACAGCACAATAATAGAAGCCCGAGATGCCTTAATTGCACTCTCGAGTTCCGGTTTCAAATCTTCCCCTGTTTCAACCTCTTCATCATCCAAGAAGGTATTGATATTGGCATCTATAAGGGCCTCATAAAGATAATTAGTAAAACTAAGACGAGTGTCAACACCTCTAAAACTTAAAAATACATCATATCTATGATCCTGAGTTGATGATCTAGGACCACAAGTTGATATACTATGGCCATGAGTTGATGAAGAAGGTGAAGATCCTTCTCGAAGTTCAGAAAGAACAACCATTATGAGTTATGTTGTGATGACGCTTCACCTACTGCTTAACCTCTCCATACCAACCGGCATACACCTAGTATGTATTCCTACGTCCACCCCTGATCTAAGTAAGCTATGAAACTCCTCCACCGGTTATCGAAAATGTAAGTTGATTTCACCGGCTTTCCTCACTCTGCTCCAATGTTAGGATCTAGTACATAATGCCTCTATAAAAAAACCAAATTATTAGTATTTATAATATGCATAGTAAATCTCTTCAAACAATTTAAGCATCAATAATAACAACAACAACAACAACAACAACAATAATAATAAAAATAATAATAATAACAATACCTTTGAATTCCTCAAAAATAAATCTTTTAAGTAATTAAAATACAATACATATGCATCTCCAAACTTTTTCATGTGAACTAATACACCTAGAAAATGTTTAAATCTCATTATATGAACTCTAATTGTGTTAATATGCCAATATTTATCCCCAAACTTTGAGTTTAGAGTTGATAGTGGAGCCATAATGTGTATGTGTGTTTTAACCCTCGATTTCAGATTCGTGTTCAAAAGCCACTCATAGCTTAAATGCTTAATTAGTGCTAAACTCAGTTGTTTGGTGTGCAAGAGACATATGGGAATAAAGCTGAGAGAGACTGCTCTTATTTCAAACAGAAACAGGCTGATAAATCTCAACAACAGAAATCTCATGGCAGTAGCACTTATGTGACAAGTTTCTGGATCCTTTAACCAACACAGATATAGCTAAGTATTGATATTGAATAACGATTACATTGCCATGGGAATTATTTAGAAAACAGTTACTCAACTAACTGAATTGGTTGCCCTGTTTTTTCAGCTTATTCATTTAACCTACAACGTTCCTATTTTGATTTAATTACCCCACAACTCACACCCAAATACCTTCTGGATATTGCATAAGATATAGGCAAGTTCAAGCTTTCACTAGATATCAACAAACAGTAATTTGAAGATCCAAACAGGGACAAAAAAAGTTTCTTGGCAACACTGATCCCCAAAATTAGCAACAACAACCTTTTTCAATTTAAATTTCTTTATCACTAGATCTATTATCATCATATCTAATGGATTTCAACTAAAATTCATAGGTTTGTTACAAATGATATGTTTATGAAACTAACAAGCAGGGATGCTCTTTCTAAGGGTTCAATTTCAAACTCTAAACTAGATAAAACTTCAAAGTTAAATGCCCTTTATCATATCAATCTCATTAAGTTTTGACTTCAATGGAGCCAATAAGGAGCCGATAACATTATTTAAAAATAAATAAACTTAAAAAATCGTGTTTGTAAATTAGAAAACATAAAGGAATTGAGGAAGCAATTGTTGAAGATAACTTTGAAGACAGGAAGATAGGAGGGGAAGTTCTTTGTTCAGGAAACAGAAAAACTTTTATCACTCGCAGAACAACACACAGTTTAGAAGTACATATAGAATCCATACATACATACACAGCCGTGATACAGTTATTTCCTAACCATCTCGACTATTGATGATTAACTGTCATATATACAAATGATGATGATGTGATTTATGATTAAGAAGATAGAATTGTGTAACAATATCTGAAACTAGTTTGTAAGAATGTGTCTTCATAGTTACCTGCCTACAAGAAGATAAAGGAGACCTGAAGCAGCGATGATAACCAATAGGGATGAAGCTGAGAAAGACGACGGCTAAAAGCTACAGATCCGACGGCGGTAAGTCGGCAGGGAAACTGCGAGTCAACGAGGAAGGAAGGGCGACAGCCAGAGACGAGAGTCAACGAGGATGTTGGATTTTCCGTTTTCCTTTTGCCTTTATACGATCAGGGTGTTGCTTTCCTTTTTATTCTCCCAAGTAGGCGTATATATATGGACAAGGTAAATTTCAATAAATTACCAATATATATTGTTATATTTATCAAGGCAAATTTAAAATTAAAAAATTAAAAAAAAAATTAAAAAAAAAAACGTAAATTTTATAATTGGGTTAATATTAAAGGGTTTAATTAAATTGTTTTTTTTCTAAAAAACTATTGAAAATATTTTTCTAGTAGCTTTTTTTTTTCAGAAAACTATTATAAAAAGTTTTTTTTAGAAAAATATTATAAAAAGCTAACAAATTAAATGGTTTTACTTTTCCACGTGCATATCAAAAAATAATTTATACTTTTAGTTAGTTTTTAAAATTTATTACCAAATTTTGAATTTTAAATTTAATTACTAATATTGTACAAACTTTTGAGTAAATTACAGAAATGGTCTTTATAGTTTGTGGTAATTTGTATGTTTTGTTCCTAACTTATTTTTTTTAAACTTGGACAGCCCTTATATTTGATTTTATTGCGTGGTTAGTCCCTATTAAACATAAAATGACTATATTTCTCTTATCTTTTATTTTGAGTTATTTATTATATATTCAATAATATGTAAAGATATATTAGATAATTAAATGCTCCCACTTATCACTCACTTTCTTCCCCAATCCTAACCCTCGGCCTTTCTTTGTTGATGCATCTTCAGGCACCGCACCACCAACTACCCCTCCTCCCTCCACATCCCACAA